CTGAACCATTTTCATCACTCCCTAGGAAATCCAGACCAGTGGGAGGTGTGGGTACATATGCAAATGTGTGTTCATGTTGGCTTTCTCATTTACCTTATTATTAAGTATCAGGACTCCTAAGATTAGGGATCTGGGTGCCAACAATCAAGTGTTCAGTCAGTGGTCAAGGCAGACAGTCTCTTCAAATTGGAAGTAATGAGGACAATTAGGTTTTGGGTTGAGATTCGAAATTTTATTCAAAATAGTAGCCCTCCTGCAACCCAGCCTGCCTCCCAAGGCTACTGCCTCTTCCTTCCCTTCGTGAAAAGTCTGATCTGCTCAGAGGTGGGGGAGGAGGTAGGGGGTGGTAAGGCTCTCATGGCCTTTGGGATGCCCAGTTCTCTCTTTCCTCCCACAGCCCCTTGCAGTTTCCTCCAGAGATTTCCTCTCTGAGTGTGATTCATTCCGCTCCTGGTTAGTTTATGAGAACTGACAAGATCATGGTCCGGGGTCACATGGCTAACGGCCATGGAAAATAAGCAGCCACAGAGAGGACTCCATCTGCCGCAATCCCCTTGATAGAGGCACCCAGCTGGGGAGCCATCCAGATCTTGTGTTTCCCATAGTGGGGCTTTGGTGGCCTGAAATTGAGGCACTCTTGGGCCAAGCGTTTGGGACAGAGAGAATGAGTTGTATTCGGATTATTCTACTGATTCCTGGTAGCCAAATACTGAGAGGACATACTGAAAGAGGATGAGCAATAAAAGACAAGGAGTAGGCAAAGGTAGATAGAACAGTGAATGTCATTAACTTAGAGGAAAGGTCCCCAGGATGTGGGAGTTGAGTCCCCGTTTTGGTTTGGGGAATTGTTATCATAGACTAAGCCACTCCTTGCTCAAATTCAACAAAACTATCTGTGTAACTTCAGTGCTGTGGCTTCTCTCAGAACACTTCCTTATAGAAACGGAAGGAATTCCACATACTTTTGGAAACGAGAACATAAATCAATTCAGCCCGAAGTCCCAGGACTGCCTTCTGTGACAATAATAATACCTGCAAACACTTATTTCTTCCATAACCTAGAGAAACGGATAATAGAGAATCAGACAGAGACACACCATGCCCAAGAGTTTCTCGGTGTCACAATCCATCCCTAGCCACAGCCAACCCTGGATCTTGCCAGCATACTCAGGGAGACCTCTGGGTGTGAACCTGGAACCCTAGCCCAAACTCACCATGTGAGTCAGACTCACAGAACATCGTGTCTAACCGTTGCACTCTTGTCCAACCCCTCACACTTGTTTATTTCTTAATCCTTACAGTAACTCTAGGAGGAAGGTAT